CAAGAATTCAAGACTTCTAAATAGGGAATCTTGATCCTGCCTAGGGGGAATAACCTTACTTGTAAGATGAGGAAAGAAGTCTAGCCGGCAGACATTAGGACCCAGGAGGCAGGAGACAGATGTGGCTGTCTCACGCTCAGTAACCCGTGCAGGGAGAGATTCTTGTGGGACCATGGTCTCAACCAGGATATCTAGGAGACTAAGACGTCCACTGAGCACTCCTGGGTGTACTTTGGGACCACCACGGAAAGCGAAAGAATTGGAACTGGTTCCAGGCCAACCAACGCTCCCAACCCCAAAGGGGTGGGGGTTGTTAGAGAGCCCTTTTCCAGACAGCCTGACACCCATGTCTTTAGTGTGGTGGCTGTGCTAGTTGCCTTTAAGTGGCTGACAGGTGCCCGGTTTAGCCTCTGAATTCTAAGGAAGGACAGGACGGAATAGCAAGTGAAAGAGGTCTAATTGTACTCACCACGTGACGATGTAGATGCCTTTCCTGGAGACTCCTGGCTGCCTCGCAAAATGTAACACCTAAGGTTCTTGCCTAGCCACACCAAAGAATTGGTGTGGCAGCTGACTGCGGTGAGTCATGAACCAATAGAGAGAAAAAGCTGTAGGCTTTATTGAGCAGAGTGAAAGTACGAAGATTCCACAGCATGGAAGGGGTCCGGAACGGGTAGCCCTTCTGTCTTCTTTATAGTTGAAGAAGCTTTGCTGGATTCTTGGATGGCAGGGTTTTGTTTTGTTTTTTTCCTTTCAGCACTTTGAAAAGGTCCTGTTCCTTCCTGACCTGTGTGGTTTTTCTTGAGAAGTTTTTTGCCAGACAAACGGGGGCTCCTTTGTATGTTATTTGTTTCTTTATTGTTTCTGCTTTTAAGATCCTTCCTTTGTCTTTGACCTTTGAGAGTTTGATTATTATATGCCTTGGGTAGTCTTACTAGGATTGAATCTGTTTGGTGTTCTGAGACCTTACTATTTGTGGATATTTATATTTATCTCAAGTTTCAGAAAGTTTTCTGTTATTATTTCTTTGGATAAGCTTTCTACCACTTGTCCTTGCTCACTTTCTCTTGAACACCAGTAATTCTTAGACTTGGTCTTTTGAGATAATTTTCTATTTCTGGTAGGTGATTTTCATTTCTTTCCATTTTTTTTTATCCTATGACTGGGTATTTTCAATTAGCCTATTTTTGAACTCACTGATTCTTTCCTCTGCTTGATTCATTCTGTTATTGAGAGACTCTAATGAATTTGTTAGTTTGGCAAATATGTTTCTCAATTTTAAGATTTCTGTTTGATTTTAAAAATTATTTAAAATCTTTTTGTTAAATTTCTGTGATCAATTTCTGAATTGCTTTCCTATTTTTTTTTTTTTTTTTTGAGATCACTAAGTTTCCTTAAAACTGCTATTTTGAATTCTTCAAGAACTCACATATTGCCATCTTGTTGGAGTCAGTCAGTGGTTTATTGCTATGTCTGTTTGGGTAGGTTGTGTTTCCCTTGGATGTACATCTATGTTTTTGCATTGAGGGATTAGTTTTTCCAGTCTTCGCTGTCTGGCTTCTTTTGGTTTTTATGGGGTGTGTTCATTTAGAGATTCTTTGTAATTTTCTTGTTGACTTTCTTTCTTTTTCCAGGTAGGTCTCTGCTTCCTTTTTGGCCCTAAATGGCACCTTCTGCTCAGGTTTGCCTTGACTCTAGTAAATAAATCAGAGTGTAGCCCATTCCAAACTGGGGAGGTCCCAAAAGGGATATCTCAGCAGTATGGGAACGCTTGCTAGCAGTTTGTGCCGAGGGGACCTGTAGAAAGAACCTTATTATGGTGATGCTAAACAGCCACTCTGATTTGGTGTCTCCTTTGGCTTAGTTACAGAGCAGAGTTTCCAGGACTCAGGATGGTAGTCCTACCTCTCCCCTTTGTCTCTGGCTATCCTCAGGGATATATTTGTCTTCAGGCACTCCCAGTGCTTCCTGTGGCTTGAGGCAGGGACAGGTCTTCTTCCAGGGAGCCCAAGATGATAGGGAAGCTGCTTACTTTGATCTCACTTTTTCCAGTATAAAAACTGTGAGTTGGAGGAAATTTTCATGAGCTTTGTGCTGGGCAGAATTGGGGGAGGCATGTCTTGGATATGGAAGTCCGATTCTGTTACTGTCTGCTCAGAGGTTTTCCACTTGACTGTGGCCCCAAGACCTGTCTCATCCTCATATTTGAATTCTGGGCTATTGCTAGTGATAATCTCAGTGCTGTATATTTGTTTTTGTTTTCTTTGGTAGAGTGTGAAACTAGCTTGCGTCTTCAGGGCCATTTTGGAAGTAGAAACCCTCTCAAAAATTTTTATTAATTTGACATACGTTTATTGAGCACATACTATGTCTCAGTTCTTCAGGGTGCTGGAGATATTACAGCAAATAAAAGACAAAGTCCTACCTACATGTGGTGGTGAGGGGAGAGACAGATAATCATCTAAATGAATGAGCAAAATATGTATTATATAGAGATATGTGTTTAGATAAATGTAAAGTAGGAAAGGCGAGTAGAGAGTATGAGAGGGGATGAAATTTGAAATAAGTCATCAAGAAAACCTTCACTGAGGAAGTTACAATTGGGTAAACACCTGAAGGAGTTAAGGAAGCAGATTTTGTGGATATCCTGGAGGAAGAACATTTCAGGTAGAGGTAACAGCAAGTGTAAATCTCCTGAGGCAGGGATGTGCATGGTGTGTTTGAGTAATAGTAAGTCAGTGTAGTTCCAACAGAAGTGAGGGGGTGAGTATTAGATGTTATGGTTGGAGAAGTAAGAGGAGCCATTAGAGGGTTTGTTTGTTTTTTCTTTCCATCTTTTCTATCTTTCTCAGTATGTTGCCCAGTCTAGACTCGAACTCCTGGGCTCAAGCAAACCTTCTGCTTCAGCTTCCTGAATACCTAGGACTATAGGCATGTGCCACCATGCCCAGCCTTATTGGAGGGTTTTGATCACAGGAGTGACATGATCTGACCTGTTGTTTAAAGGGATCATTTTGGGCTGGGCGCGTTGGCCCATGCTTGTAATCCCAGCAGTTTGGGAGGCCAAGGCGGGTGCATTGCTTGAGGCCAGGAGTTCGAGACCAGCTTGGCCAACATGGTGAAACCCCGTTTCTACTAAAAATACAAAAAATTGCTGGGTGTGGTGGCACATACCTGTAATTCCAGGTACTTGGGAGGCTGAGGCACCAGAATCGCTTGAACTCGGGAGGTGGAGGTTTCAGTGAGCCAAGATTGCGCCACTATACTCTAGCCTGTGCAACAGAGGAAGACCCTGTCTCAAAACAAAAATAAAAGGATCATTTGGCTGTTGTGTTTATAACAGACTGCAGTTGAGGGTGTGGTAGTGGCATGGGTAAGAAACAGGAGAGCAGTTGGGAACCTGATGCAATAATTCAGGCTACTATTTGGGTTGGCCAGTACAGAGGCAGCAAAGGTACTGAGAAGTAATCAGGTTCTGTGTATATTTTGAAGGAGCCAGTAAAATTTGTTGATGGATTAGATGTGGGGAGTAATGGAAAGGGGAGTCAAGGATGGCTCCAAGGCTTATGGGCCTGAACAATGTTGAGAGAACTTCCATTAACCGAGATGGGGAGACAATATAAGGAAAATGTGTGTGAGGAGGCTAAGGAGCTCAACTTTTGACATATGTTAGAAATGCCTATAAGACTTTTAAGTGTAAACGATGAGTAAGCAGTTAGAGGAATCTGCAGTTTCAAGGGGGCAGGGGTTAGTATGAGGGGCAGCTGAGGGAGGATAGATTGATATGTGCCGGCAATTTATCTTCTGGACTTCTTATCTGGGACTTCTTGTTTCACCTCAATTATACTGGCCACTTGGGCATTACCCTGCCTCTCCATAATCAAGATATGTGAATTGGGCTTATTTCCCAAGCGGTCATTTCTTAAGTGTAAAGACTGTCTTGGTCTTTGTAATCATTGCCTCGAAGCTTGTAACAACTCCAGATGCATTCCTTTTTTTTTTTCCCATAAAATTTTAGGTTATGGCTGTCCCTGAGTCTCATCCAATATACTTCTTTCAGGGATTCCTTAACATTTCTTGTCTGTTCATAGCATTCCTGTTTGTTTCTTTAGTTTTTTATAGCTTTAAAAAATACCTTTTCTGTTATTTTCTGAAAGGCTGTAAATGATGAAGTCAGTGTATATACCTAGTCTGCATTTCAATCCATTCTTCTTGTTTATAATAAAAAGAATAAATTATTATAGAAAAGTGACAAATGCATAGTGATAAAATATTATAATATTCTTATTTGCAGTGATTGGTTTCTTCCATTTTTTCCCAAAATATTAAATTTTACTTAGTTATTTTACTTACATAATAAGCATTTTATCATGTAATTATAAACTGTATAATTGGGATTTCACTTTCTAACATAACTTTCTGGGCCTGCTCTTTGGTGACCCTCATCTGATCTCTCTAGACTCATGGTAAGTGTAACTATTGAACCATTTACTCACTGCTTTGAAGTGACTAGAAGGCTGACTGTAAAGAAATGCAGGCTGGGAAAAAGGTCTCATCTCTGCTCCTGTCATTTGGGGCAGGGATAATTATCTCCCTATGAGGAGTAGAGCTAATGTGTTATTTCTTTTTTCAAGTTATTTTAGTTTCAATTTAAAAAATAAATTCTGCCAGGCATGGTGACTCCTGCTTGTACTCCCAGCTACTTGTGAGGATGAGGTGGGGGGAATCCCTTGAGCCCAGGAGTTGGAGGCTATAGTGAGCTATGATTGTGCCACTGCACTCCAGCCTGGGTTACAGAGCAAGATCTTGTCTCTAAATACATACATACATACATACATACATACGTATTTTAAAAATATTAAAATTTTTTTTCTTTCCTCTAGTTCACTTAGCAGCCATGGAAGGCCACCTTCACTGTTTCAAATTCCTATTCAGTAGAATGAGCAGTGCGACACAAGTTTTGAAAGCTTTCAATGATAACGGAGAAAATGTATTGGATTTGGCCCAGAGGTTCTTCAAGCAGAACATTTTACAGTTTATCCAGGGGGCTGAGTATGAAGGAAAAGATTTAGAAGATCAGGAAAGTAAGTAAGTGATATGTTCTAGCATATAATGTAATGATGATGATGATGATATAATGATATACTTTCATTGATGTAGAATCAATGAAATAGGAAAAGAAGATATAAGGCAAATGTTATATATGTTATATGTAAAAATATAAACATGTTTAATATATAACATATTAAAATTTATTACATATCATTGCCAATACATTCATCCAGATTCTTTATTATAAAATACTTTAGACAGAAATGTGTAGAGGTTTGTTGCAGTGGCGCATGCTTGTAATCCCAGAACTTTGGGAGTCTGAGGTGAGTGGATTGCTTAAGCCCAGAAGTTCAAGACCAATTTGGGAAATATAGTAAAACCCTATCTCTACAAAAAATACAAAAATTAGCTGGATGTGGAGGCATGCCTGTAATCAGCTACTTGGGAGGCTGAGGTGGGAGGATGGATTGAGCCCAGGAAGTCAAGGCTACACTGAGCCTTGATTATACCTCTGCACTCCAGCCTGCATGACAAAATGAGACCCTGTCTCAAAAAACAAAACAAAACAAAACAAAAAAAATTAACATAATGAGCAGTGAATCACTAAATTTAAGAATAAAATATAGAGGCCACGTATGGTGGCTAACACACACCTGTAATCCCAGCTACTTGAGAAGTTCAGGCAGGAGAATCATTTGAACCCGGGAGGTGGAGGTTGCAGTGAGCCAAGATCACGCAATTGCACTCCATCCTGGGCAACAAGAGCAAAACTCCATCTTGGAAGAAAAGAAAAGAATAAAATATAGAGTTGAAGCCCTTTGGATCTCTCTCCCTAATTACCATCACCTTTTCTTCCTCCTCAAGGGTAAACTATTATTTTAGATTTTTCATTCCATTCTGTGGTTTTATATTTTAGTTGTGTATATGAGTTGGGGTCTCACTATGTTTCCCAGGCTGGTCTCAAACTCCTGGCCTCAAGTGATCCTCCTTCCCCAGCCTCCCAGCAAAGCACTGGGATTACAGGCATGAGCCACTGCATCCACCCTGTGTTGTTCTTTATGTGCATTATTTTTTATTGTTGTATTGTTATTTTTATTGGTTTCTCCTTCAAGTATTTTCCATCTGTTCAATCTGCAGATATGGAACTTGCAGATATGGAGGGCCAGCTGTGCATCTATACACATACATGTGTACACACAGACACACACACACACACACAACTGAAAGCACCTAACCTTATCCCTAGCATATGGTTGATGCTTAATAAAATGTCTTTAATGATAGTAACTACATAAACTGAGTCCTTACTAAAAATGCCAGACATGGTAGTAAGCACTTGCAAGGATTGCATTGTTTTGTCTTTTTTAAAAATAAGATCTTCTTGATACTTGGATACCAAAGAATTGCATAATTTTACCCTCTCAACAAATCTGAAATGTGACTTTTCTCATTTTTACATATGGAAATAAACAATCTAGAATAGCCAAAGAATATTTTTAAAATAACAAAGTTGGAAGGACTTAACACTACTTGATTTTAAGACTTACTATATTGCTACAGTAATCAAGGCAGTGTGTAGTAATGGCAAACAGACATACAGATCAGTAAGACAGAATACAACAAAGACCAGTAAGAGTACGGCATGATGGTGCATCCCTGTAATCCTAGCTACCTGGGAGGCTGAGGCGGGAGGATTGCTTGAGCCTAGGAGTTCAAGGTTACAGTGAGCTGTGACCACACCTCAGTGACAAAGTGAGACCCTATCTCTAAACAAAACAAAGCAGTGTGACAACTATTTACATAGCATTTCTATTGTATTAGGTATTGTGAGTAACGTAGAGATTATTTAAAGTATATGGGAGGGAGGATGTGCATAGGTTATCTGCAAATATACCATTTTATATAAGGGACTTGGACATCCACAGATTTTGGTATCTTTGAGGGGTCCTAGAACCCTTAGGATTCCAAGGGATGACTCTATATGTATGTGCACATACACACTTCTTATCTGCTTCTAGTCTATTTTGCTGTCTTCACTGTCTTGCAAGTAGAGAAGGAGCGGTCTGTGCAACCAGGTTCAAGCGATTCTCCTGCCTCAGCTTCCTGAGTAGCTGTAATTACAGGCATGAGCCACCACACCCAGCTAATTTTTGTATTTTTAGTAGAGACAGGGTTTCACCATGTTGGCCAGGCTGGTCTCGAACTCCTGACCTCAAATGATTCACTCACCTCAGCCTCCGAAAGTGCTGGGATTACAGGCGTGAGCCACCATGCCCAGCTTCCAAGTATGTCTTTATACAAAGGGTTTTAAATGACCATCCCCTGTGTTTTGTGGTGATATGAGAGAGAAAGAGAATGTGGCTAAAAATTGTCCTGGTACAATACTTCTGGCATGTTTGAAGTCCTGAGGGGAAAAAGAGTAGAATGATTAGTAATAATCTTATTTGATAATTCTCTTTTTACTGCTAGTCATCAACTGAACTCATTCCATTACAACAGCCTTTTATTTGAGAAAATATTGAAACCTGAAATATATGACAGCTTAAGACAGGGAAAAGAATAAACTCTGATATTTATTGAAATGCTGAATTTTTTTATTCATAGCTTTAGCATTTCCAGGTCATGTGGCTGCCTTTAAGGGTGATTTGGGGATGCTTAAGAAGTTAGTAGAAGATGGAGTAATCAATATTAATGAGCGTGCTGATAATGGATCAACTCCTATGCATAAAGGTGAGTTATGATTTCTCCTTTCAGTTTGGATACAATAGCTGCTGAGTTATTAATCTTTTAAAGTAAATATCAATCAGAAACACATGAAACATAAAACTTTTTTCTGATGCCCTAGCAGATATCAGTCTACCTGTGTGGTATATAGAATGCCTAATTCTCTATTCAAGTGTAATGTTTCTTTTATGATGCCAGATATTCATGCATTATCTTATTCAAGGGTAATTCCAATAAAATTTCTATAGCGACATTGTTATGTTAGTTAAATGTGAAATGTACTGCTAGAGAAGTTTCTTAGGATAACATTTTTTAAATGACCTTTTAATTAATACTAAAATAGAAATCATCCCTCTCTCTCTCTCTCTTTTTTTTTTTTTTCGCAGACTGGGTCTTGTTCTGTCACCCAGGCTTGGAGTGCAGGTGGAGACCTCCTGGGCTCAAGTCATCCTCCCACCTCAGTCTCCTGAGTAGCTGGGATTATAGGCATGTGCCACCACACCAGGCTAATTTTTTGTCTTTTTAATAGTGATGGGGTTTCACCATGTTGGCCAGGCTGGTCTTGAACTCCTGGCCTCAAATGATCCACTTGCCTTGGCCTCCCAAAGTGCAGGATTACAGGCGTGAGCCTGGCCTGATGGCAGGTGATTCTTACTAAACTCTTAGAGTAAAATGATAGTAGGCTTATTAATATAATCATGTGTTTAAATTGGACTTTATTTCACAACTTAACTTCTGGCAGTCCTCAGATCATATATTATGTTCCCATTGGTTAGGTTTTTAGCTTACATTGTTTAATCCATAATGTATCTCAAAGTATAGAATCTAAGCACTATGTGTAACAATAGTTTTATAAGCAGGGGAAATGGGAAGAGATGGGATGCAGAGGATGTTTTCTCCTACACAGAAAGAGTCCAGACAGATTGGTGAGCTCTGTGCCCTATGTTTGGAATATCTCACTCCATCCATTTCTGCTGGTCATCCAGGAGTTAAACTCTCTACTGTGAGATATGTGTATGGGGAGGGGGCTTAACATGTCATAAAGTTTTTTTTTTTTTTTAAATTATTATTATACTTTAAGTTCTAGGGTACATGTGCATAACATGCAGGTTTGTTACATATGTATACTTGTACCATGTTGGTGTGCTGCACCCAGCTCCTTATTTTTTCGAATTCTCCAGCTTTGCCCCTGTTGGCCATTTTCATGCGTTTTATCTGCCTTTGGTCTTTGACTGATGGGACAGGTAACTGCATGGCGGTTTTATTCGGTCGGTGGGTGTCCTCCCATGTTTGTTAGTCTTTCCTTCTAAGCAGGTCAGGACCCCTAGCTGGTAAGTCTTGCGTTGTGGAGATTGCTTGAGGTCCACCTCCAGACCACTTGTTTGCCTGGTGTATCAGCAGAGAGGCTCGCGAGAAAGCAAAGAATACCTTGTCTCGAACAGTGAGTGTCACCTGTCTGATTCCCTTACGTTGGAAGCTACGCTCTCAGCGGGTGTACTCCTCCACCCGTCGTTGGACCGGTGTGGGCGTGGTCGGTCTGCACCTAAGTGGAGACGGGGCATGTCCTCTCCCCAAGTTACGCCCT